GGGGCAGCGCCAGCACACCGCTACCGGCCATCTCACCAGCCACCAGCAGCGCCGCCTGGTTTACAGACAGCCCGCTGCCTTTCTGTATCTCTTCCCCATCGACGTTCTACGCAAAAAATAAAAGTTACAACATGCAAACATCAGAAACCCAAAAGGTATAGATTACTCCTTTTTTAATTCGTTCGATAATGACTCTCGTTTCAAAACTCCTACTATAATGTTCAAATTGAACAGAGAAGCATTCAATAATAAGGACCGCTGTACATAGACCGATTCAAGTCGTCAGCGGCAGCGTCAAACCGTCGGCGTAGTTGCTAGATAAGCTGCTTTCATTGCTTAAACACTCACACAAAAACACGTTGTCCATCTTTATCATACTTTTTGAAAATAGAGAGATATTATTAATGTTTTTCTATAAGTATTCCGCGGTGTAAACTCACCATTACAATCTATCTATCATAAATTCTAGATGTTCATAATGTTGCCGGTTTGTTGTAATGATTTGAAATTAATCTCTGGTATTGCATAATAATTTTACAAGGAACTTGATTCTCCTTATTACATTACGCGGTTTGAGTAAAAAACTTGTGTTCAAATTGAGAAATTCTTTCTTTTTAATAGTGGATTAAAAAGTTAATATTAAAAACCGTTTCAGATTTTTTTACGCACTTATTATAAGATTACCTATAATATTTATAATTTATTTCGATCTTTAGGCGTGCGTTTATAGTACTTTTCATGAAATGGCGTCATTATTTTTAGTTAAAGCTATTTTATTCAAGTTAATAGACGCAAGATATTTTTTACTAATCTTATTGGACGCTTCAATTTGGCGGTAAGAGTCATCAAAGTAAGAACAACGGGTTTCAAAAAATAAAACTTTCGGTGTAATTAATAGTAATTGTAATTTAACTACCAAGACAATTATTAAAGTAATTCATTAAAATGATAAAATGTTTCGTAATAATAAAGAGGGTAGAATAAAAAATGTTGTCCGTAAAAATATGAAATATTTCTTGTTTTTCTTACCGGCTTAGTGATTAGCGGAGTTGATTCCGAAGCTTTCGAGGTGCCGCTGCTCATGGCAGCCTCCAGATTACTCTTCTTGGACATCTTAGGGAGAGTCTAAATAACAAAAAATAAAAAATAAACCTCTTTATCAAAAATATTACAGAATTTAAAAAAGAAGGCTTTCAAATAATATTTAATTATGGTTTCAAAGTAACCACAACAAAACAGGCCCAGTCAATTAAAAACAGGTTTCTCGTCTAGCAAATCACGACTTCACAAAATTGATAAGAGCCGGTAAATAAAAATAAGTACTTTTTAAAAACTGATAAGTGAATTGGTTGAAGAATTTTTAACTTACACGTGGTCTTTCAAATAAAAATTGTTCCGAGGGAATACAACGTGCAGCGCGTCCACAAACCAACTGGCTACGACAATCCCAAACCAAACTGACCAGTTACAAGATAAGCCCCCGTTTCACTAACTCGTCTCTAGCACCGCGCGAATTTTATTTCTATAAACAATGCACAGTGTCCTCTGTTGACGCTAAATATTTTAAATACTGAACTACATTAGCTTATTGTATAATTCTTTTTTTGAAGACAAAATTTTATCAGTGGTTCTCTACTGGTTATTGTTTTGGCATTTCAAGACCAAACTCTAACTGCAAATGTTCTCATGATTTTCGCTTCAAATGCCGTAGAAATATTATGCCGTGGTCGCGCAACTTCTCATGTAGTGGAAAAGGGCTTAATAACTCGCCGCAACGACGTAAGAACTACTCACCCGCTCACTCCTGCCTTGTCCCCTGCGTTCCTTATGAAAAATTAAAGCAACCGAAAATATATTATTCATATTGACCTCATAAATAAACAATTTTTTATACGTAGTTTCGCAGACTTTAAAAATAGAATTTAAATTTACCTACGTGACTGAAACGTAATGCACTAAAAAAAAGAAGTCTAGGAGCTTAAATTTGACAGCGGATAAGCAGTTTCCAGAATTTGAAGGATTATTACAAATTTAATTATTGTTATTGAAGGGTGTAACTTGGCTTACATTAGTTTATTAATTTTTGATCAACGAAATCGCTCGTATAAAACATAGCCTCCATAATGATTCTAGCTTCATAACATAAAACTACAATAGCGAAGCAATTTCTAAATTTCGCATTTAGAGTGTTTAGGGTTTCCCTTAGTGTAGATTTCTATGACCAATTAACAGTAATTCAGTGCTGAGGTTACACACAAATGGTACAGTAAACTACAGCGACACTTCTATCTTGTTAGTAAGTATGTCACACTTGCACATGTTTAGGTTGGATTTAGGTTACAAGATTGGAAAATAAGGTAGTATAAAGATATAAGATTAGATATTGATTAGACGTAAATCGTTAATTTAGCTAAAAAGACTAGTTAACTTCTATTAGTAGAGGGACGCGTAACAATATATGAGGGTTTCTTTTTAAGGGGCTTCATTTCTTAGCTTAAATTACAATTATTTTTTTAAGATATTTTGTATCGATATTATAAGCTGTCAGGTATTGAAACAAATGGAAACACAATCTTAAAAAAAGTGTAAAAATCAGTCAACGACTTTAAGGCTTCAACTTAGTTTTTAGATCTATATTCTATTGGTTTCAGATAAATTGAATTTCTATGAAATTGCCGTATAACTTTCCTTCAAAAATTGCTAGTCGTGTACGATAACAAACTATTAGTTCAACTGTTAAATGCGTAGTCATAATTTTCCTTTCTTTAAGTGAGAAAAAAATATATGTTTTTTGGTGTAATAAATACATATGTACATAACACTTTCACAATATAAACAAGATATTCTTTATTTAATGACATTCCTATTTGCTGATTATTTCAACGAGTAATTCTTCTTATAACAATAGTTAAATTATAATTTAAGCATGTTTTAACAAACGGCGCGACAAGTCTTCGATTAGCTAATAAAAATGTCTTTTTAAATTTAACGTCTGTTGTATAAAGTTCTGCTCTTGGTCTATACGATGACCGTGACCGTAACTTATGAAAAATTATGTATTTTAGCAGCTTCGCTCACGAATCTCGTTCCTTCCATACACATTGCTTACTAGTGTTCTGTAGATAATTTACATAAAACTTATTCCTCGTGCGAAGTTCGTGCGTCATTCGACACATACATTAACTGATCTTATTCCAGAACATTTTACATTTTTCCTCAGTACCTATTTTTGATGATTAGATAAGAGTGGAAAATTTTATTTAGTAGTGACTTGTTTTGGTTTATTTATTGTCATCCCTTATACGACTATTGTTGCTCTTTATATAAGTTTAACATAGATTTAGAGTTAGTTAAACTTATGCCAAGCAAGTTTTAGATGCAAATCTTACTAATTTTATGAATTCGAATGTTTTGAAGTATAGATAGATAGATACGTGGTTAGATGTTTGTTAGAAGGTATCTCGAGAACGGCTGCATAAATTTCCCTGAAATTTAGCATCAAGGTAGAACACATACACTACTTATTACATTTTATTTTTAATTCTGCGCGGACAGAGTTAAGGGTCACAGATGATGTATGAAAATTTCGGATTAACTTATTTTCTATATTCTAAATTAGAATATAATTATTTCTATGGAACTAAAGTACTGAAGTGCTACCATATCATTGAGCTATTCGCGCTTGTGACCGAGTTTTAACAAAACGATATCCTGTTGGGAGGATTGGTCCGATTGATCTAATAGGACAAGTGAGCCTAATGTAGGCCGGTTAAATTAATCTATCGCTCCGCTCATCTCCCAGTACAGTATACTAGAATATGTTATAACTAAGAAAATAAAAAGGACGCAAAATAAAAAAAACACAGGAAGTGTAAAAAATATAATTTATGTGGATGACGTTATTGGTTGCGATCTATCGCAGACATCCTTGAGATAAATTGTATTCGGGATGGAAAAATCAGGAATACATTTAAATATCACTTATCTGAAAAAAATATAGGTAATATTATCATAACTACGAACTATATGCGGAACAATATCGTACATAATTTTGCCATATTCCTTAAAAAACGTTAGTTGCAGTAAAAATTAAAAAGATGTGAACACAAACTTAATTTGTGTTAGTAACGGGCTAAATTCTAAGTTTCTTAATTTTTTCGTAGTCTTCAAACCTTCAAAGTCTACTTTAGTATGAAGATGTTTAAGTAAGTTACGTTTTATGTTTACGCCAATGTGTCAACGAAAAGGTTTTCTACTCGATTCTTATCTTTTCTTTTTCTACAAGAATATACGTGGGACTACAATGAGCCTTGTTAATGATTTTTCTGATACTTACTTTATAAAAATATAGTTTGATTAAAAATATAGTCTTACAAGAATCTTATAAAAGAGCATAATATACAAGCTGTCGCCCGCGACTCCGTCTGCACGGAATTAAAAGAAATCTTTATTAGTAGCCTATGTGTTATATCTAGACTATGTTCTACACCTATGCCAAATTTCATCAGGATCCGTTCAGCCACTCTAGAAATACCTTCAAATAATCATCCATCCATCCATAAAATCGCATTTACAGTTTTGACATTGACAGGTGAGCGCCTTCATGTTTTAGGTTTACTAGTGAAAAGTGAAAAATTGCTTAAATTCCTTCAGAAGTCGTCCACGCTGCAAATCCAAGCAATTGATTTGCAACTGATAACCTGAGTTCTCGTAGTAATTCCTTACTATCGATAGAAATCGATATGTCCAACATCATTAGCAAATTAACGGACATGTCATAACATTATGCGTGATATTTTTTAGAATTACAAAATTGTGAAAATGGTAACATTAAATCGTGCAGCTGCCGCTCCCTTATTGGTCGAAATATGACGTTGTCAAGATGACATTGTTTGTTATCATATTTTCCGATTGCCATAAAATCCTTGTGAAACTTGAGAAACAAAGATATCCCAAAGACAATTTTAATCGATTTAAGTTTTTAAAATCGATCCTGGCAACAATATTAGATGACATTTTTACTTTTTACTTTTTGAATGTGTCAAATGAGATTATACGATAGATAAATGTGAAAATGAGTAATAGTGAGAAAGAGGTTTCTTAATTTACAACAATTTTTATCATAAATTGAAGTACAATGAAATTCATTTCAAAAAGTGGTAAATTTAACAGAAAATAAATAGTAAGGTAAGCTATTTAGAATTTTTTTTTAATATTACGCATACATCACAATGATATTTCAAGCTTCAATAACATGTTATTATCGTTAATTTTAGCACTTCATGCGTTTGGTCAAGTAATATTATTTTCTTTATAATTACGCTCACAGGTAAATTTGTGCGTGTTAAATTAGTACTATAATATTCCAATTTAATGTCAGCGTCAAATACAATTCAAAGAAATACGACAGCATTATAAAAGCATCTTTATTATTTCGAACTAAAGTAAAATTTCACTGAAAAAATTTCGAGTTGTCGATTACGAGATGCAATATTGTTTGCAAATTTTCCTCATTTTGAACTGCAAATGTATGGCTTATTATTTGCGGCAATATGTTTAAAATTAAAAGGGTTCATACATGTTATGTTCTATCATACATATTCTTATCTTGTGTTGCACTGGGAGTGAATGACCATTAATCAATTTGAACTTGGTGGGTATTTGTGATTGAATTGAATTTGTGCTTCATTGCATGATTGGAAGTGTATATGAAGTGTGTACAATTTATACAGTACATATTACAAATATCTTTTAACAGTTGTAAGTATCTGAATGTGTTTTTCTAAAAAAATATTTTATTTTTATTTGCATAAAAAGTCCAATTTTGTACAATTTCATAGCTAATGTAAATGTACTTTTATTTGATCATTTCAACTGAAGTTTGAGGTAAAATTATAATAATTACCATCGTTAAATCTCTTAACATTATATTTAAGATAATGAAATTGTCAATTACCTTTGAAATGGCCTACAACATGTTTCACTTCTAAGCTGTATCATCATAATATTTCCACCATGGTTTTGTTGCTATATTACATTGTTTGATACACTGCTCATGATAGCATTTTTTAGCTAAGCATTTTAATTAACAAAATAAAATTTCAGTTTTTTTACTATAAGATGTATTAGGAAGGTTAAGTTCCTTCACATTCATTACTTATCTTTTTCTACCCTCTTTTCCATTTGACATATCTTCATAAAATGCACTGATAACCATTAATAGCATCAATAATCTATTTCACTAGTCACATTCTTTCACAAACAACATATTTCATAAGTTCACTACTAATTCTTAAAATCCATTGATGTAATTGCAAAACATATTTCTTTACAACAAAATTCTTAATCAATATAAGAAGAGACAATACTATAAGAGATTTAGTCAGAAATTCCTATTTGCTCAACCTTCTAAAGTTCTGGAACCTTCTATAGCTTCATCTCTCGGAGTAAAGAAAAAATATTTTTTTCAAAACTATACATAGTAATATTTCATTCATTTATTTTAGGAAATATGAAAATTTATATTTTACACAGTAATAATAAGGATTACTTAAATTGAATTTTTGCATCTGGAAACTACTTCTGTCATATGAGTATTTGCAAAAATTATTTTCATTGAAGACTAGCTGACTCGACTGACATTGTCTTAACAATTTTGTTTTTTATCTTTTCTTTAGTAAGAACATTCTGCAAACAAAATAATCTTAAATTTTACTGCCCATCTAAAAACATTAACATATATCCCTTTAATGCAGGCAACTTTAAATATTCAACATCTAAAATAAGGAAATACAATTATCTTTTAGTTGCGAACAATCCATCCTATTCCTTAAAAGTTACAAAAATTAAAATAGGTTATTAGGTTACTTATTAATAGAAGTTATTTCTATTGATAAAAGCATTGTTAAAAATCAGTTGACACTTTTTTTTTTGTTTAACAAGAATATTATATCTCAGAATCAAATAATATTATGCTGTTTATTGTGTCTCAATACAATGTTGCATAGAACAATGGGTCATTTAAACTAGAATAATGTTATAGCTTTGGGTGTGCTTTGAAATACCACTTAAATGAATTTGTTTCTTTACTTTGTATTTTTCTTCATAAATCTTTTTGAATTATCGATCTTCATACTGATAAATTTCTTGAATATTTATTGGTACAATTCTATAATATTTGTACACAGTCAGACACGCTACATTCCACACTATTATGGGTGGTCCAGTATTTTGTAGTAAAGTCTATTTGAATGTTAATTAACTTGGTCTATTTACAACAAATAGTACATTATGCTGATTGTAATATTTCCAAATTATTAGAACTTCTGTAATTTAATTCAGATACTAATAATATTTTTTGGGCACTATATGGCCATAACTTGAAATTGTTTTATTCATCAGCTGTATAGCAGCAGTAACAACACTGAAGAGAAACATGATAACATTTGATGTATCTGACATGATGAACGCTGCCCCCCCTGATACTCATTCAGAAGATGCAACTGGTAATTCATTCACAAATTACTATATATTAGGAATAGAAATATATAGGAATTATCCTTCCCTTAAGTTAGTTTAAATGTAGGCAATGCATCTTTGGTCTCTTAACATCTGCTTGTACTCAATAGCCGCTTTATCAACAAAATTCATATTAAATATACATTAATCAAATCATTATCATCATGCCCCCTTTTCATCAAATATCTGCTAACTTAGTTTACCTTTCTTTAAGGCACTCTTAAATCATTTAAAGAAACTAGAGAATGGGAGCTTTGGTTTAATAACCAGTAAGAGTAGTTATAAATTTTATCAATTTAAATTTGTGTACATTTATATGAAGGAATGGAGGAGACTCCATCATCAATGGTGTCGAGCGAGGCGGAGTCGGAAGGCAGTGTGATATCGGAACAAAGAGCCCATGACAGTGAAGCTCCGATGCCCTTCAGCACCGACGCCAGTATCTCAGATGCTCACGGCTCGCTGGACAGGTCCGCACCAACACTCACTGCCAATGACTGGAGAAACGTCGGCAACTCGCTGGCATCAATTATATCTACCAGAGGTATATATTTAATATTAGTGTAGTGGTACTCTGCCATGCCATAATATATATGGTACATATGCTAGTTCTTTTTTGTCAAAAAATCAAAGGGTGACAAGTGTCATGACAGTGGAGATGTACAGTTATATTTGTTGTAGTATCAATATTAATATATATTGTCTTATCTATGATTCAAGTTAACTAAAGCAAATAATACCATTATTATTAAATAAAGTTTAACACAAAATTATGATTAATATCTATGAATAATAAATTTTCAAGAGTTTGTTGTTGTATGCCCTCTCTTTGTTTGTGTTCATTTTCTATAAACCATATACATTCAGACTTTTCATAAACATTAGAGTCTGTATAATCCATTCAAACTCATCCAACCTTTCTAATAGTATTGTAGTCTTTATAGATTTTTTTATTAGGAATTAATTTTACTAAAATTGATTAACTTAACATTTTTAAAACTTCAATGATGAGATATAATTTCCTCAGTAAATTGAAATATACAAATGGTGTAGAATTCATTTTTGGATGAAAATTTAGTTTAAATATTGTCACATTAAAAGCTGTTCAACTGCAATTGTAAAATAATTCTTTCTATTTAACTTGTTTTATGTAGCATATATTACTAACTTTTTTTTTATTTCAGGCTCAATGCTACCATGGGGTCCACACAAAGGCCCCATAATACCACCTACCGATATGGACCTACGTCCAGGAGAGTATGTCATGAGGCTATTATTTACTGAATTCACAGTTCAAGCTGAGAGGAAAATGGAAGCAGTGATGGCTGAACCACTGGTGAGTAGTTTTATAATATGTTGTAGATAATAATAAAGTACCAAGCATCTCATTTGGCACACCCGGAACAAGTATACTCCTCTGAACAATGGCCAACACAAGTACTAAGTATTTTAACTGTAAGGTATTTTTTTAGGAAAAGCCTTTGAACAAAACTCTTCAGCGTGGTGAAGATCCTCAACTCGATCAGATTCTATCAGCATTTGGCACTGTCGCTGAGCACTGCCTACCTTCTTTACTTCGGGCCCTGTTTGGCTGGCTTGAACGTCAAATGGCTGATTCACCACAGCTCAGTGAACAAGCAAAAAAGCCAGCACATGATTCACGTAACAAAAGGTAAGTAAAAACATTCACATGTAAATTTTTAGCTAAGCCACATGCCTAGAAAGATTGGAATCTAATTTTCCATATGAATAGGAACAATGAAACCAATCTAAGATAAAGATGTTTTGTCATTTAAATAGTCCCAAAATTATAACAATTGGTAGCTAAGGTCACACGTTCTTTTCTTATCATCAAAAAAAATCAATATAAAAGATGATACCCAAAAAATATTTCAGACATTGGCTGTCAGTAGTTTCTGTGTACTTGACATCTAGTTATCTTATTACTTGGAGCTTTTATTCGATTCTTAAAATTAAAAAAAATATATAATAAATATTTTCTTTTCTTTTCCTCATTGATTTCCAATTTGTCTCATTTCCTGTGATTAAATAATTTCTTTCCAAAAAATTGTTTTATAATCCTGTTATTCTACATATTGTGTTGTATATATTCTGTCGACATTTTCCTTCAAATCCTTCCTTTCTTAAGGTAATTGGGTTTAAGCTTTATGAAATTACTTAATTTTTTTTGTTTCTTATATCCTGTACATTAAAAATTGTGATTGCTTATTCTTTTATCTACACTTCATTTAAATACATTTTTTAACACTTTAGCAGCATAATCTACATAGTAGCGGGCAGTGGGGCTGGCACGGAGACGACTGAACGTAGCCCCGAGGAGTTGCAAGCCGAGAGACGAGATCTGGCTGTGGAGTTCCTCTTCTGTCTCGCGCTGATAGAAGTGCTACGTCAGCTGCCCTTCCATCCGGGACACGAAGATCTAGTGCATTACATTGAAACGCTGGCTTTCAAACGATTCAATTATAAAGAAGGGTAAGTGAAATTAGTAGATAATAAGAAAAATCTAAATAATACATCTGATATGTGATCAATTTTTCGCTTTATTGCTTACGAATATCTTTTATATTATGCAGTAATAGATTTTTGGTTTGGTCACAATGATTTAATCTAAATGTTCATTTTTTTAGGCTCCAATCGAACCCTAACGCGGCGAACGTGCATATAATTGCTGACCTATACGCAGAAGTAATCGGCGTCCTGGCGCAATCACGCTTCTCCTCCGTGCGCAAGCGCTTCACAGCAGAACTCAAGGTCAATGTTTATACAATCATTTATAACATACATCATACACACACTCTGACACACAATTTAATTGAATTATGAAACTGCTAAAAGGTACACAGCAGCTAAAGGGTTAAATATAATGGTAAAATCTGTAATTTCTGTCTACTTTGTTATATTACTCTGGTGATTATTTTTGTTATATACAATATCAATCATATGTTTATATTCGTGAAGACCTATTAGCATATCTATACCTGGGGTTTTCCTATGATTAGCACAATTTATAACTATAACGTAGTAAAATGTTCACTTTTATAATATATTGCAGATGTTAATACCTAAAATACCTCCGAAATACAAAATTATGTGAAAAATACATTCACTGCTACCGACTCAAACTATGAATTATCTTTAATTATCAAAATCATAAAAGCATTAACACATGTATTTCCAAGATGATAAGTCTAAAACTTTGTTAACAGGATCTCAAGTCTCGAGAACCATCACCGCATTCGACACAAAGCATAATATCATTATTGATGGGCATGAAGTTCTTCCGAGTGAAGATGGTGCCCATCGAAGAATTCGAGGCATCATTTCAATTTCTTCAAGAATGTGCCCAATATTTCCTTGAGGTGAAAGATAAAGATATAAGACATGCGCTCGCTGGACTCTTCGTTGAGATCTTAGTACCAGTGGCTGCGGTAAGTTCATAATCTACATTTATTATTCCTATAACATATCATCCATACATACTACGTTATAAGTAACACAATATTTCAATCACCTTTTATACTATTAGTAAGATAACAATATATTCCTACAGCGGAATTGCACATTTAGTTTTATTTATTACAGACGGTAAAAAACGAAGTGAACGTCCCATGCCTCAAGAACTTTGTCGAGATGTTATACAGTCACACTCTAGACGCGAGCACCAAGTCTAAGCATCGTTTGGCATTATTCCCTCTCGTCACCTGTCTACTCTGCGTCTCTCAGAAGCAGTTCTTCTTAGCAAACTGGCATTGCTTCCTTGCCATGTGTCTCTCACATCTCAAGAATAGGGATCCGAAGATGTGCAGAGTGGCACTAGGTGAGTTTGATGTAAAACATATTATCTGTAAGCGCGGCAGTGCCCCTGCCGAGACACACCTAAACAATTCAGTCGTCATTTCTTACTCATGACAAAATTTTAATCTCTTTTTAACTTATGTGGTAGGTTAAGGTTTTTACAAAATATGTTTCTAAAAAATTGTTTTCTTTTTAATATTCTAGAAGCACTATATCGCCTGCTATGGGTCTACATGATAAGAATCAAGTGTGAGAGCAACTCGGCCACCCATTCCCGATTGCAGAGTATTGTCAACTCTCTGTTCCCGAAGGGATCCAAAGGTGTTGTCCCTCGGGATACTCCCTTGAATATATTTGTCAAGATAATTCAGTTCATAGCTCAGGAAAGATTAGATTTTGCTATGAGAGAAATAGTTTTTGATCTACTTATGGTGGGAAGACCGATAAAGATAATTATGACACCTGAAAGAATGTCTATTGGTCTTCGAGCGTTTTTAGTTGTCGCTGATAGTCTTCAACAGAAAGAAGGCGAACCGCCAATGCCACGGACTTCGGGTACTTTACCATCTGGGAACACTTTGAGAGTTAAGAAAACTTTTCTTAATAAAATGTTGACCGATGAAACAGCAAGGTCTATTGGTATGAGTGCTTACTTTCCGTACGTCCGACGTGTGCTTGTGGAGATATTGAGAGCATTGGATGCTCACTACGGTAGGCCATTGATGTTGACAAATACACAGAATGTTACCAAAGAACAAGAGATAAATACGGGCGAGAGGAAGCCTAGGATTGATTTGTTCAGGACCTGCGTTGCTGCAATCCCACGGCTTATCCCCGAGGGTATGAGTTCAAGTGAGCTGGTGGACCTGCTGTGCCGGCTGACGGTGCACATGGACGAGGAACTCCGCGGCCTGTCCTTCCAGAGCCTCCAGACCCTCATCGTCGACTTCCCGGAGTGGCGGCAGGACGTGCTCACAGGCTTCACGCAGTTCCTCGCCAAAGATGTACAGGTATAAAATTCATAATGAAACGCAAAACAGCTGCAGTCCGAGTAGAATTTTGCAACACTTATATTCACCGGGTCATATTTTATATTTCAGGATACAACACCGCAATTGGTCGAGAACGGTCTTCGAATGCTGCTCCAGTTGATAACAAGCTGGAAGAACGGGGAGCCAGTGGCGACTGTGCCCGCGACACCTATGAAGCACGAACCACTGGTCTCTGTGCTCAGAGGCGCGGAGGCTCTGGGCCTGGTCATGCTGTGTCAGTGCAAGTCATATCCAAGGAGATTGGCTGTACACATACTGAGGTGAATGTATAATAAACTAGAGAACCATTATCGTTTTTATAAAATGTTTAGCTATTTTTGTCTGAACGATAAATTATTTCCTTGTCAAATATGCAATTATTTCTTCATCAACCTATCAGTCGATGTATCTAAACTCCCTTCTAACGCATGTCCTCTTCCACACAATTCATCCATACTTTTTTCGGTTGGTTTATATATGACCATCTATGTATAATATGTTCATAAAAAATGTAATATCCTAATTTACGTTATATAAATATTTTCTCAGAGAAATCAAGTATCTACTAGAAAAACTTCAACTAACACGTGAGGAGCCGGCTTTAATCGACGCGGCCGACGCGCACGTGCCGTACTTTGCTGAGAAATGTCTGCCGCTGCTGCCCCCTGCTGAGAAGCAAGCTATACTAGCTGCAGGACAGCCGGACCTCGTGTGGATAGCAGAGCGTAGCCACGCCGTATGGACTGCCGGTAATGTAACTAAGAATTAAAAAAAATCTATAGAGTTAAGTTTTTTTGTAAAAGATAAGATGGTTTATTGAGGCTAGATAGATGGGCTTAGTTCAATATGCTCCAATGGCTAATGCTTATGGACTTTTGCTTTTCCATTAATCGAAATATTGTGATACTCTGGAAATTTAGATTTTAAATATGCTTTTTTATTGTTGTTAACAAAGTTTGTATGTGTTTAAAGGAATACAACATGATGAAACATCGACTAAGAACAGCTGGAGTGCTAGTGCTACTAACGGAGCTGATCCCTGGGAGGTGAGCTTTAATAATATTAGTGAAACCATTCTTAATTAATAAATAACATAAATAAAATACGATTTAATTTTTTTAATCTGTATTTTATATTAATTATATTAATATATTATTTTCTAGGTAATTTTGTACGGGCTATTGGAGCGTAGTCGTGTACCTGCTCGCTGTCCAGCCACTATACTGCAGGCTTGGCCAATTCTACATGCTAGAATACACGCGCTCTACACCATTATAGAACCAGCGTAAGTATATTAAACAAATAAGGAATGCTATACACGGACCGAATTATGCAATCGACCCTAAAAATGCAACTGACAGAAAACCGATTATAAAACAGGACGTGTTTGACAAATGGGTTATTGAATATCTTAATTTACTTTAAATACACATGAAGTATTGAATCAATAAAAGTGTCTATTTTATTCATCAAATTTTTATACAAATTATCATATGGTGGTTACAGGCCAGTAAGTGACAATCGCGCTTCGTTGCTCTCTCGCAGTCCCGCTTTACCCAGAAAACCTGAGAAGGAAAGAGATGGATATATGCAGGTAAGTTATTACACAATTTAAACACATTTAACAAAATTTATAACAACTAATTGTCGCTTGTGACTCCCTCCGGGCGGAATTATAAAAAAAAATAACGAGTAGCCTATGTCTTCTTCCAGACTATGTTCTATATGTGTGCCATATTTCATCAAGTTCTGTTCAGGCGTTCTAGAGACACCTTTAAACAAATCCATCCATCTAAACATTCTCATTTATAATATTAGTAAAATTGGTACAACATTTTTACAATGTATTCTATAATTCTCGACTGACATAAAGAAATTAACTATTAGTGTTATTTTATCTAGTTTTTAATATATATTAATTGCAACTAGGTGTGGAAGTATTACATGACAATGGCGTACTTAGTTGTACCTGCCGTGCCCAGTCCTATCATCCGTTGCGCTAGTCCCGATTTAAGTCTAAGGTAAGTCAACTGTCATAAATGTATAGAAACATGTATGGACATTCACATTGAATATGACGGATTTATTAATATATTAATTTATACCATTTAACTCAATATTTAATGTGTGATATCAATCTGAAAGTTTTAATTATTTTGTAATGGTATAAAATAGCATAGATTATTAGCCCTTAAAATATATATTATATGTAAATTCTTCCGTCACATTCAATAATTATAACAATATTTAACAAAATGAACACTACATGAATATTATGATTGGCTTAACAAGTAATAATTTGTTGGAATATTTTTTGATTGGCATTAAAGCATTTATTTGTATAGTATTATAAAATTAATTTGTTGTGCTGAAAGGAGTAGACATCTTATTTTGCTGTCACATGTATGAGTATTAAACTCGTTTGCCTTTTAACTATTAATATTAGAGGGATTAGTTTATAATTGATATATATATATATATATTAAGGTTAATATAAAACGCCTGTTGAAATATGAATATTTTAAACGTCGCATGCGTTTGTTACGTCTTGTAAGTCAGAATAATCTGCATATATCTAACACGGTAACTGTAAAATCTTAAAAGATTTTCAATTTTAGCTTATATTACGTTGACACAAGTGTTAATATTTTGGAATAAACTAATAATCTGAAAATGGATCGGGAATATAACAAACACTCCGTCTCCGTAATAGAAGCTTATTAACTACTGTGAGACGCGATACTTTGACTAAATAGTCCGAATCGGATTCTCATATTCGAGTTGATGGTGTGTTTAATTTATTGATAATATTGTGTTATATGAAGGTGTATAATGTATGAGACAGAAGAGCAAAGATTACATAATAGTTTGAGCGTAGCAATCGGGGTATGATTGCGTCGTCAGTAGTGTATCGGTGGGTGTAAGAGTGTGATGGCAATATGGCGCACCGTGACCTCTGTCCAGCCACGCGGAGCCAGAGGGGTGGGTCGGGCCGGCCGCGCTGACCGGCTCCAGCGAGAGCCTCAACGCCCCCGGCGGCTTCTTCACGCTGCCCCTCAGCTATGCCCGAGCGCACAGGCATCACAAGCGGACGAGGTGGCCGATCCAATCGCCATTCGCATCGCAAAACGCATCGCCAATTGTATCGCCAATCGCATCGTCAATCGCTATGTGCACGTCGCATTTGATTATCATATCATCGTCTCTGTCCTGTTTCGGTACCATATCGCTTTTCCTCATCGTTATCTTAACATATCGGGGCATGAAACTGTGCCGTAGTCATCTGCCGTCGCAGACTGTTTGTGGACGTTCAGATAGAATCGACAGCTAGTACATTGTCGGTTCTGCGGTGGTTCAAACATCAGATACGAACTCCACTGTTCCGTTGTCATTCATCACATCACGCATAGGTAATATGCACAGCTAGAAACCATCATTGTAAAATCGTCATTACGACTGGGACTGTTTGATCGCAAATAGTTCGCAGGCTGTGCTCTGTCGCCGTGTTTAGTTATTATATACATACATCGACACGTTGTGCAATAGCATTATCATTTATTGTGCGCGCTCTCACATTGTAGTCGCATAATTTAAGTGTTTTCTTGTTTGTGAATGACAAAGTGTATGGCCAATAATTGTCAACTTCAATATGTGGACTACTTTATACGTGTTAATTTGAAATTGAAAGATTGATCATACTGCTGCATCAAAAGCAAACGTAAACTAATGATAAATATTTTGTTTCCTTTATTCATTTTATGTTTATGTCTTAAAATAAAATGTCGATGTGGTCAATAAGTACCATCAATCTTTCCATTTTAATGCGTTTTCCTATGAACGTAAAGTATTCGTTTGCTAAACTTTCATGTTACTTGGAATGTGTAGTTAGAGATATGCTATGGTGAAAATGCACGAATGAATTAAATTGACTATCATAAACTAACAATTTTTTTTAAAGACGAAACAATTTTTTAATATTTCTATTAATTAACATACTAATAAGTTGGAATCTTTTACGCTTAAACATACGAGTGTATGAGTGTTTGAGTACTAGACATTTTAAATGTTGGTATTTATCTTATTAGCTTTCAAATCAATTAAAAATCCACATCTAACAATGTGGAATGAACTAAATTTACAAAATTTAATGTAAATGTGTGGAAAATGGTAATATTGAATGTTCAGCATGTTTTATGAAATCTATAAAAGTGTGTGAGAGGAATGAATTGAGTGAAAATACAAAAGGAATATAGAGAACATACTTTTAGTTGTCTCTTATGAAAAAGGCGTTATAAAACATAACATTGGAATGAACATTTTATTATTTATAAGGCCTCAACGTGTTAATTAATAAGATATGACAGGTCCGGTATGTTTTATTATTATTAAAAAAATAACACGAAAAACTTTAATAAGGTACGTCTAAATTATTTTTTGTTCGCGCTATATAATTATGTTGTTGTATTAACTGTAGCTTTATGCGATGTCAATGTACATAAATAATATAATCTATTCGCTATTTGATTTTAGAAATATTTAAGATTTGAAGGAATTTATCTGTTTTTATTTGATTTCGTAAGCTTTTTGTACATTTGTTCCATATTGCTTTTGTTGTTCGAAGGCAATTTTATGTAGTACATTAACGTTAACACAAAGCCAATATTTTCAATGTTGTTTCTGTGCTGTTTGCTTCTACTTGTAATATGTGCTCTTAACTCGTCTTCCTTTGTCAGAAAATGTGACAATACCTTTGTCGTTTAACTTGTGTTTTCCTTTGTGAGTGTTGTAAATCTGTCTCTTTTTAATGTCTCATTTCAAAACCTACTAAATAAATTTATCTGCAGTAGTAAAACTAGATGTTTGATGTCGTAAATAATCATTTTAAAATTTTACTAATAAATTTTATGAAGGTCTATACTTCATGATGATCCAAAAGGTAGGACAATGGAAATTTATATAATGTGAGTAACTTCTAATATGAATTTTTCATATGATAACTACAAAACTAGAGAGGTTATGAAATATTTACCATCCTTATTTCAAAAACTAACTATTTGTTCACTATGAAATCATGTCTTCAGTTTGACGTAAGGTTATTATTATTATATTTTAACATTTTCAGCCAAAGGAAGTATACACAAAGTAACTACACTTAATATACTCAAATTTAGCTATATCTTTAAAGAAACGCTACGTCACATTATACAGTTTTACATATTAATATTATTTGATGGCTTAAATGTTTTATATCATTACAATCAGAGAATGTAATCAATTTTCCAAGGAATACATAGTGTAAATATACAAGAGTGTAGTTCCGCCATTTTTCTTTATTTGAGCAAAATTACAGTTTAAATAGCTTTACCATCAAATTAAAAATTGCAAAGCCTGACCAGAACAATAAAAGAAACTAGTAAGATTCTGTCAAACATATTTTTTTTAATATGACTTTGTTGGTATCTTCATTGACTCTCATTAATTGTTATAATTCATTTATTTTTCTGTTCAAGTTACATCTATGTATATATACATAAAGCACTGTTGTGATGTTAGTTCGTCGCCGGACTCGCTGAGCGAGCGGAGCGGCGGAGAGGCACGGGGCGCGCACGCCGCGCCCGCCTCGCTCCACAAGCTAGCCGCGCCGCTGGTGCGCTGCGAGGTGTCTGAAGTGCGCGACGCCGCCGTTTCTGCCTGCGGACATATCAATCCTGATGCACTCAAGTAAATAATATTAATAGTATTGAAGATAAGGTTGAGGACTCATAAAATAACAATAAAACCACACATGTTTTTTTAGGATTAAAAATTAAAAAATTGGTTTAGGAATATTAGTTCTATGCACTAAAAGTATTTTTATTCATCCAGGGACTTGTTCGAAGAGCTTCTGCCCATTTTGCGTGAAGCTGTTGATCGCAAACAAGAGAATATGCGGCGGCGACGTCGCAGAGACGCACTTCGTCTGCATCTCAACAAAATGTTACTCATTATCGCGAGGCGGAATACATTTTCGAGCAGGTAAATGCTTGATTTGATTAGCAGATAAAAATGATAAAAGTGGCGCTAGCGTAGCAAAGAAACACGACACTAACGCCACCACTAATATTTTATTTACTGTTAGATCAGTAAATTATATCATTTTCCTGTCTATGTGTATTACATTTTTGATTTATGTAATTATAGAATTTGTTTTTATATTTTTTGGTTTTTAATTTAACAGACTTATATATTTTTGATTGTTATTTATGGCAGTACATTTGCATTGGAGAGCGGTGGGCTGCACTCCTCTATAACCGAGTACCTGGACGGCGTGCGACAATGCCTCGAGGCGGAGACGGACAAGGATGCGGCCGCGGCGCGCGAACAGCGACTTACTTTTGCCGACTTTGTCACTGAACTTGTCAAGAGTTTTCCTAGTAAGATGCATTTTTAAACGTTATAAAAACTATGCCACAATTCAATACGAGACAAGTAGATAACATTAGGATATTGAATGAACTGCTAATTATTTTCGTGTGTAGAGAGAAACTAAAGAGATAATAGGTGTAGTCTATAACACCTCAAACATTATATAAAACAATAAAGTATTTATGCTGCCGCACTGTGAATAAGGCAGGCCCTTAGTGTTCATTTCTCATACTTAAATTACACTTAGGGAGATCACTCAGTAACCAATGCGGCATTCAGTTTAGGTATTTTAGTATAAAAAAAGGTTTGACGTATATTGACTTGTGATATTACTCTGTGCAGTTGAGATGTACGGTACTCTGATGAAGAAAGAATTGTGCCGCGGCCTGTTCTCATTGTTCGCGAGCTGCTGCGGGCCGTTGGCGAAGCACCTTGGCTCTCTGGTGACGCAGCCACCCACTCCTCAGCCCCAACCACAACAGGCTCACGACACCGACGATAGGCTTAACCTATCCGCACTCACGGTAATGAAAACTTCCCCACTGTATCCCTTGACCATTAAAGCTAGGCAATATCAGTCTACCATATTATAAAGCTGTAGAGTTAAATACCCTAATCTGTAATAATTATAAAACCTTGAAATCTTATTTTTGACATTTATAGAACAACACCAACAATGGTCATACTTTAGTACTTTTGCAGCTCCAACACTTTATCTATTTATGTTACGTAGTAACGTGGTCATGAGATGAAAATGCGTATTGAAGTAATGGAGAAAGGATGATACAGGAAGCTACTTTTTTTTAATATTTGTAAATATAATTGTTGTTAGGCAATGAGCGCGCTCGTGTGCTGCGGGCCGTGCTTCGCCCCGACTGCGCTCGCTGAAGACGGCGCCCTCTATCCCTGGCTCAGTGAAATGCTCTCTTCTACTAACGATAAGGTATACGAACACTTTGTACATTGTTACTCAGGTTATCATTTCCTATTATAAATCTTATAAAATTACTTAAATTGATTGCTTATATGTACGTAAAATATACTGTAATAGTTGTCACCCGCGACTCCGTCCGCGCGGAATTAAAAAATCTTGATTAACCTATGTCTTCTTCCAGAGTGTTCTACGTCTGTTCCAAATTTCATCAAGATCAGTTGAGCTGTTTCGAAGACACCTTCAAACAAACATCTATCCATCTAAACTTTCGCATTTATAATAATAGTTAGATTTGAATAAATAGTCTCAATACACAATTAAGAGTGCTTTTGCAAAAAAAAAAACTGCATCTATACGACTGGAATTAAGGAAGGACATAGACCTAAATTGTAAAAGTGTTTATAAGTAAATTACTGTTCTTGCTAATACTCATACCATCATCATCAATAGCCTTTATCTGCCCACTGCTGGGCACAGTCCTTTCCCAATGCCTTTCACAGTACGCGGTCCCCCGCCTTTCGCAACCAACGACAGCCCGCCGTGCGAACAATACTGATATTGCCGTTCATAATAATTTAAATTCTTAGTAATGTTTTCTAAAGAGAAAAAGTTCAAAAACATGTATATTTTTGTTCGCAGAAAATGTGAAAGTAAAAAATATTTCCAATAATTTTTATTACAATGTGACAAAGGAATCCATATACTAATGATACAAAATATTTCATAATGAACATTATTATTTCATATTCGTTATTTTGCTATATTATTTTATGGCAAACAGCATGAATTCGACGAACACGCCGAATTCAACGTTATTGAGAGATTACATGCTAAAATAGTTATAAAGCCTCTCCACATGAAACGAATTTCGAGAAATTTTATAATGATTGTGAAATTCGCTGCTTTTAACAAACTGTTTTAAATAAATATAAATCCCATATTAATGATATACGATATACTTGGTATTTAACATTTTAATTAATTAATTTTACTTATTATTAATATAAATGCGAATATTTGGATGAGTGAATGTTTGTTGAAATGATCTCGTTGAAACTGTACTGTACGAACTGTAGAACAGTTCGTAAGAATACAGCCTATGTTAATGTTAAATTTTTTTAATTAATATTATATTTACTTTTTCTTAATAATATTATATTATAAAGGTTTTTTTTATTGTCTACACAGATATACGAATTGGCTCGCGAGACAATCGTATTGCTTTTGGAACGCAACCCCGACATAGGACCGCTATTAGACTGGACAGTGGACAAATGTTTTACCGGCCCACCACGAGTTGCTGACGGATGCTTCATGGCATTGGCTACTATATTTAGCGCTAGGTAAGTTTAAATTATACTAGAATACTTACATATTTAACTTTGTATTGTTATTGTGATCTCTCTTTTGTCTAAGAAAATAAAAGGGATGGCAATATGTTAGACTACCAATATCACTGCAGTAGAGTTCTGCCGTTATTCAATCATAAAAATTTCATTCGGCAATTTGAAATACCGGACTTTTCTAAGTTATTTACTTGGATTTGGGTTATCGAAAATTGAATTTGGTACAAATTTATACTAGCTATGTCACAGGAAGACTGGGAATTTGTTTGAAATGAAGCAAGATGTTAATAGTCGACAATACTACGTTTTTAGTATTGTTCTTGCGGACAGTTTGGCGAAATTGTGTTATTGTTGGTTGTCATATCGGCGCCTAATGACCTATATCCCCGGTGGAGACAAATATTTGACTTGCCACTGTTTACTGATTGCCGTACTCGAAGTCGGTCAAGACGCTATCGACCATCGATCACTTTTATAATACATACTACTCTAAATGTGGGCTTCCACTGCCGAAACATCTGTACAAAATATAATTTTCGTCGCTAAATCCAAGAAAATTTGGCATAAAAAACGTTGGCCCGTTCTAGAAATACCTTCTAGCAAACAACTATACTTACATCTTAACATTCGTACCTATAATATTAGTAAGGAGTAAGATTTATTCTTTCAATTCAGTCATTGATCTGAAAAAAAAACACGCTACATCTTATTTCAGCTGCCCCCTTCCTCCTCCCTTCCACCCCCTTCCTCATCACCCCCTATTCTCGAGATACACAGTAAAACATAAACAGAAACACGATGTAACCGTAAGTTACTGTAAAGTGTATATATTTACAACTAAGTTTGCGATGAAAGTGCACTTTACAAAGTAAAAACCGACAAGGTCGCGTTTTACCGCAAACTTTATACTTTAAACGTAAAACCCTACCTTTGAGTTAACGAGCTCTCTTCCATCATTATTTTTATTTTATTTTCCATACATTTTTTGTACCTTAGAGCTTTGAGAATACTTTAATGTACAAACAAACGCTTTGCGACTGCCGTAGCCGATCTTGTAAACTACTTTTTAATTTACTAAAGCGATTCCACATCGAGTTTCAACCTTTATGAATATTTAACTATTTGTTAATTAAAAAATAAAATATCCTGACTTTACTATACCATCAAATTGAGGGGAATACGTATCTAATGTCAAATAACTCTGTCATTTCTATCGTATAGACTACAGGATGTCACAAAAGTATGGACATAAAACAACACCCCCACACAAAAAAATCTTAAAGTCAAAAAATTTCATCTTCTTAGTCGGGATATTCAGTTGCTTTCCACGTAGTGACAATGTTGGTTATATGGTGAACATGTAATGTTATAGTGAATTTAAAGTGTCGTGGCACTTGTTTGTACTAATAAATATTGAAGTCCCTTTCATTCTCTTTGACGAAACATAAAATACAAGTGGTAAGCCAACGAGACGCTGTTACCAGTAATAGGTATTTGAAATAGTGTTCGATTGTCTCGCTGTCGGCCTATGTCGCTGGCCGTTTGGAAAATCACGATACAAACGTTCCATCGTTCACGAATCATTGACTTTCATAACAGTCTGGTGAAATCGAATCGTTTATATCTGTAACTTTGACAACTTTGATACCACTGAGTACTTTGATCTTGTCTTATAACTTGAGAAACTATTCAAGTTGATTGAATAACCGATTAATTTGTTTTTAACAAAGAGCCAAGAATTTAAAAATGAAGTGAGACCATCGAGGCAGACAAAGTGCATTCGCTTCGAAGCTATACCATAACAGACTTGAAAAATGTATAGAATTGACAACAACTTTCGATAAGTCACGTAATTTTTGCGCGTCCGTTCCATAATATTTTTAGATTTGTTATGGAATCGATTCGAAGCGAATGCACTATGTCTAGACCTACTGACGAGTGAGAGAAAGTCGTTTAAACCGTTTAGGTTACGGGGGGGGGGGGCTATAATGGACGGACGTAAAATGATGTACTAAGCAAATAACAAGTATACGGGAATATTCATACACGTTAAAGGATTGGTCAAAGCAACATTTAGTCACATATTTGACTGATACGAATAAAAATCCTTTCACTGCAACTTTGTAATAAAAAGAGAAGACTAAAAGTGAAATACCGACTCGCAGGACATGTCCGACTCAAAGTTATTTGCATGGCTGCATTATTAATACCTCGTGTAATTTAGCGTTCCGAATAAAAAGTTGTTAAAACTTTGCATGAAAATAATTACAACTCACGGTGAGACCTCGCTGAGATGTATTAAACAACTATTTTAATCATAGGACTGGTTCACTCTATAAAACATTCTTTGCCAAAGTCCCGCTTTGACTATCATTGTTAAAAGATTTTTCTTTATTAGTTTATTTTATCATATTAAATTATACGAATCTTTTATTCGTTCTCTTTTTGCTTTTATTTCCAACTCTTTGTGTACATCGTCCGTGAACACGTATAAATGAAAACCGCTGTGTAAATGAAAACCTGGTGCACGGGAGCCACGTGATTGCAAAAGAGATTTATTGAAATGCTTTTATTTTTAATAATCCCGAAATAAAAATCTACTTTAATATAGTTAAAACCATAAATCGATATAGAAATTCGAAGCAAAGTTTCTGTAAGTAATAAATTTTTGTTTAGCTTAGATGTTTTAGGATAAAGCTAGAGTATTTAAAAACGGGTTTCGCTGCGTTATTGAATCAGTGAGCGAGTCGGCCACAAAATTCATAAGTTCGTAGAAGCGTATTCGTGTTACAGTCTAGTCATTAATGCAAACTCGATAACATGCAGCGCGCCGTAGATCGAATCACGATAGCTCGTTTTAACACTTTTTGTAGTCTGTACCTCCCTTCTCGCTGGAACTGTAAAATGAGTTAACATCGCCCACATGGCCCGCGGCGAATATATTTTCCATGCTAGCTTTAAGATAAATAAGCTCAAAACTGAACATTTTTATGTACATTACTTAAACCCACGAGTCCGTCTGCGTGGAATTATAAATAAAATGTGGCAAACAAGCAAGCGGTTACTTAAATTCGCTGAAACAGCGAAACGACCTCTACTCATAGACATTCGCTATTACATAACCGTTGCCTACCTTTATTCAAAGGAGGAGGGGAACCACAAAAAAATGGATATTTACCCTTCCTCTGCTAAACCCACTTCTACTTTCCATCGTTAAAGAAAAGGGCGGTAAAGGAACGTAGACTAAAATTAGGCCTCCCCACGCACACTAATCAGACGTAACTCGGCATTGCTTCCGCTTCACGCCTGTCTCCTGTGTGGTATATGTATTTTATTAGCGGCCCGATCGCTTAAGTTAAGGAGGTGTGTATATATTGATATTTCCCGAGGAGCGCCTTGCCAATCTGCTAAGTGATAGTCGCCTATATCCGGTAACTGAGTAGTATTTAGTTTTTGGGTGTCCATAAATTGATCGCTTCAATATGTGTCGAAACTATGATAATATTATAAAGAGGAAAGATTTTTATTTTTGTATGTAGCGAAAGATACATTATCTCTCAGTAAAATAGACTTTATTTATTACTAGTTTTTTTAATATGATGTGGACATAGATGAAGGCAAAAGTTAGCTACTTAAATGTTATTTGGCACAATTATTTAGTTGTATTAAAAATATACTAAATGAAAAGTGTGTTATATATTATATTTCTGTTACTTGTTTTATCTACAACATGTATTATAAAATATTCCGACATAGACAATATGTCGATATGTTTATATTGTTTAGGCAAACGTTACGAATTTTGGGATTACCTTTATCAAAGTTAATATTATTTTACATTCGTGAGTATAATAGACTCTGAAATAATATCAAATATTATATTTGACTGACATTATTGCCAGACGACAAATTAATTTGTTTTGTGAGAGTAACATTATATGAGACATTGTTTGTGTTACTCGTTATTGTGAAACAAACATTGAATTATTATATCTCTATGAATATTTTTATGGGTTTATTTAATAATCGTATAAAGCAAAGGATTTTTTTTTATTTTCATGAATTAAGACAGTAACAAGATAATTATGTCGTAGTGTGTTGGCATGAGTAAGGGACGTCACTAAAAGCTTACAACGATGAAATTAGCGATCTTTTATAAGAGACAATGTAAATAATTTTATTTGCTAAGTAAAAACGAATAGCTAAATGTATTTTATTCAAGGGTATGTTAAAAATATGAAATGATTTAGTATCACAGAACTGAGCAAAACAATACGGAATCAATTTTACAGAATATTCGCCGTATGTCTGTATGAAACTAGTAATTGTATTAAAACTGAATACGCAATGAATGCGGTGTAACAAACGAGCCTCTGTTGTTGACATTTTTTCCATTCAAATTTGATGGAGTGAAAGTTTGAATTTGAATTGGATTGTTCACGGAATCCAGTGAAAAACTTTCTAAATAATGAAATGTTAACATGATTTTCATCCACTTTGAGTCTGTGTCTGTTCTCGAAATGAACACTTTGTAGTTCGCATAAATCAATAAACATATGCACTTGTGAAAACAATGTTTAACTATCGATATTTCGTACTAAAAAGATGAGTTTCTTTTTTCATTATTTGTGCAAAAATTAAAATAGTAACATGCATTATATTGAATATTTTCTCCAAGGTATTTCCATTTGAAGGATTAGGTTTGTGAAAGTTGTTGAAAGTAAATTATTACGCTTTCATTCCACTTTGATGTAGAAATAAGATGGTCTCGTTTCATTTCTTAATAATTAAATTTCAGAAATGGAACTTGAATAAAATATATAATCTGTATACCTCTTTGGGTTGCGGACGTGAGTTGTGTATATGTATGTGTGTGTGTGTTAAATAGTTATTATTTTTCATTAGGGAATATCCTTGCGACCACTACACGGCCATCATCAATGTGACGTTGATGTGCACCGGTTGTCCGCGCGCACCTGTGCACGAGAGCGCCTTGCAGCTGCTGCAGCTCCTTGACAAGCGGTTCTTTGGTAGCGTGAGCCCCATAGCGACGGACGACGACGGTGAGTGTACCCCGACCTCTCGACTACAACGACTTCTGCACACTAATAGCAATCGAGATGCAACTTATGCACGACAGACATCAGACATAAGTTTTCATTCAAGCAGTCAATCAGATGAATATCTATATATATAAAAATGAATCTGTACTTCTCTTGGTCATCGCATTCGCATCACGCAGCAGATGAAACAATATCGCTAATTCTCTGTTGTATTTTATTAAAAAGAAATTACAATAGCGGAAAATTTGAATTCATAGTACAACGTCTGTCGGGTCAACTAGTACTATAGATAAATATATTATTTAGATTTTTCTTACATATACTAACTCGTAATGTTTGTAGCTGAAACAATTAAGAAACTCTAGTTTTCTTCTTATTATCTTTTTTATTTCCAATTACATCATAAAAGTAACAAAAATAAATATGTTTTGCTTGTTAAACTTACACGCTTTACGCTGATCTACGTTTTTTTAATTGCAAACTGAAATTTTATAGTAACTAATTATAAATATAAACGGGCAAATAATAATATTATCAGACGATTGAATGAAAACATTTGTTGCATTGTTTTCGAAGATTTTTCGTCATTGGAATACATTTTAAGTATTGTAACGGTAAGAACTCCACTGCAGTGATACTTGGATTAATATATATCACTATCCTTTTTCCCTTATCTTTGACAAAACACAGACAACAATGTATATTAATACAAGTTTCACTGCAGGCAAATTATACGCTAATTACAAACATATATTTATTTTAAGATTGTCATTAATTGTAAAAGTGTTTAGAGAAATATGACCTTTTTGTTTCTCATATAAAAACGCTAACTAGCTTGAACCTATGCTTTTGTTTTATATAGTGTAATACTGTTTTATAATTATAAACAAAGTCATCTAAATAGCTTGTCAAAAGCCTGCAAACGACGTATGTATATAAAAATTATGATTATTGAAATATTATGCATAGCCATCCGAAATGATCTTGACCGATTAATAAGAAAGTAATTGTACCGAAAGCAGTTTTGATGATAAATATTTAAAGGTGAAAAATATTCTTTTACAAAAAATAGTTAAAAAAAAATTTTTTATTTCTTCGAAACGCGTAATAACATAGTGATATTGGCCAACGCTCAAAAGTATATTAACATTCTCACTTTCAACTCGTCTTGAAAATTGAATGGAAATCAAATTAATGTTTTTATAGTAATCCCACTATAATACATGTAAGTATTGTCTAGTTTCATATTGATTTGTAAATTAATTTCGGTTGTGATATGTAGAGGAATTTCAATTCGCAAACCTCCTATTCAATCGTTGTTGAATCAATTTGAATTCCTGAAACGTGTGTCCGGATTTTACTACGCATATTCAGTTTACAGTCGGACCGTATTTAATAACACGTAACGTAACATGGCTGCTCTTTATTTATACAGACTTCACATTATTAAAACCTAATATAAAACATGGTTCATAATATAAATCCAACTTGTCTCATTTCGTTTGCTCTTTCCTTTGAGCTGTACGCAAGAAATATTAATTTCGTAGAATATTAACAATTTCATAGTTTCGTTACATCCAATGTCTAAACTATGGTGAAATTGCAGAACTCTTACCTACCTGAAACTTCATTGCTTTACTTTAATAACAATTTCAATATATATAAACTCATCAAACGCAAATGTTAAATACAAACCGCACAAAAATTATATTTTCTTACGAAAAAAAGAAAATATATTACAATATTTATTTATTTTATAGAATAATTTTCTCATTAACAAAACGAATCGAAAATTTTTACCACGTTACATCTAAAAACGATTGATTACATAAGACCTATATGATAAAAGAGACAAGACTATAAAGTATATGTAAAGATCACTAACAACATAATGTGATAAAGTATACATTTTTTTGGTAAAAATGAGTAACTTTGTGGTATATGTCATAGTTTGCGTCTATACCTTTATGTTTGCCATTCGACGAGCGACAAACATAAAATGAACGCACACAAAATGTTCGGTGCAAATCTCTAACGCTTCCCACAAGATTGACTTTGAATGAATTTAAAATTCTATATTGGATTTGTATTCAAAAAAGTTTGCGAAGAATCATATTAATATATGTTAAGTTATTGATATATAACTTATATTGAAGTAATGTTAGTGAAAGGGGTTGTAATAGAACTTTAAAGTTGTGTTTTTCTGTTATCGTTTAATATGATTTAAAGTTGTTCATGTCACAAATACGTGACTTTGGTACATTACATATATACTGTCAATATCTATGTAACGATCGATTCCAATTACCGCGCAGGTGTCCTAATTGAAATAGGTTGGGAACATTGTCCTTAATATAATATCTAGAGATTGCTTCACATGTACTCTATACTATACACTTGCTCTATTATTATCGAAAGTCAATTTCTAGCTATTAACGATGTTAGTGTACATAATGTGGAATATAATTATCACGCATTACATTGTATGAAAGATTACTTCGATAATTCTTTTGCTTAATCTTTTGTGTTGATAAAACTCAATTAATGTACATAAATAAGTCGTAATTTACTTGTTAAGTTGTATTTAAAGTCTTAGAAATATGAGTTACAATATCTGTATATAAAATATAATATTCTGTAATACATATAAATATATATTTGAGTTATTTAATTTACGGATCGACCCCCTGATTAAATAAAGGCACTTAATTACAGCACACGGCAAATTACGAGTGCACTTTAGTTTTATGTAAACGTGAGTTTCCACATACCGTTGGCGATACATTCGCTCTAAAACAAATTGTCATCGTTCTAAATGCTTGTTTATTTCTACCTCAAAGGCGCGTGCCCGGCACAAATTATATACATATGACGTTGTATGACAGTATTTACATCTAACTAGCGACGGTGCACGCGATGTACTTGCGAAGTCAAGGAAGTTTAACCGGTTTGAACCGGTCGATCGCGCCCGCCTCAGTCAGATATAAACAAGCACTCATCCTCCATGCAAAATAGGAGATATATATTGTTGTATGAATATCGACCGTGCAGCTGATAACTGTGAACTGTAAAAAGTCTACAATAAATTAAATAAACTAACTGTTATAGATGTCGCCCAGTTTAAAAGCAAAAGTTCATCTCTTCAATTCGATTTGCTACATTCTAGACACTGTATAATATAACTATCCAATCTTACACTTTTATTTTATTACGACAAACACGTAACAATGTTGTAGACATTCGTAGTTCGTAGACACATGTCGACAATCGTAGACAGTCGTAGGCAACGGCAGAGTCGAACTATTTTAGATTCTTATCAGTTTTAAAGGGACATTTTACTTCATAAAACACGATAAATTAAATTAAGAATTTTCTTAGGATTTTCTTAGTACAAGTGTATATTTTTACTACAATTTCATGAGTCAAAATGAATTATCGTTGTCATGTGTAAAGCCTACATTTTAACAACAATAACTAACCGTACTCCTTTATGATAAAGCGTCAATAGCCTAATGGTTAAGGTTACGGATTTCCGATCACGAGGTCGGGGGTTCGAATCCCACCATTCGACTACTGTCGTAAACCATATCCTAGTAAAAGCTTAGAGCTTATTTGGAATGGTTAAAGAAATATTAGTAAATTTACACAAAAAATCTGCTAATATTTAAAAAAAATGATATGTTTAGTTTTTAATAATAATAAGGACTTTTAAGGAGTGCAACAGATTAATAATATATTTGAAGATGGTGAATTTACCTTTAACTTTTTGCATATTTCAATGATCTTTATATTTTGTTCTTACTTCAACATTATTAAATTAATAATGGTTATAAGTACAATTAAACAGAAGACTGACGAATACTTACTGAAACATATCCCTTCTATAATCTAGAGACCCAGGAACCTTATTAGGAATAAGGCAGTGAGAAAACAGTGACGATTTAAAACACATATTCAATTTTGGAAATTAATTTAATATAACCATAAAACAAATGCCACAATCAATAGTAAACCAGGAACAAATTTGTCAGTTACAAATGTATAATACCAAAAAGTACTTAATTATAAATTCTGACAATAATAGTAATACATAAAGTAATGTTAACTCGAAACAGCGATATAATTTGAAAATTTACAAAAAATGTCTTATAAAAGTCATAAAAAAATAAGTCGACTTCTTGCCAAAGAGTTAGGAGATATGGTAAATAATATACATTTTAACGATTCCCAAAATTGATTTTTTTAAATTTTTCGACATCAAATTTTAAATATACTGAGCTAATGGGATTATATAATAATTGTCATTACAACGCAAGCTGAGTTATCAAATAAAAATGATGATGATTTCATTTACAATTAATGTTATAGATGGACAAGGATATCTGACCCGGTTGGCATAAGTTATAGCTCACTAACACCCTTAAAAAAATGTTACATTCATTTCCATATCGGAGCTGTCATGTTTTGTTCTTTTATGTCAGTTTCTAAGCCTGTTTTAGACACTTTCTTGTAGAACTAACCGCTATAGTAGCGCCTCTCGCATCGGGCCATATATCCTAGCATCATCATTTTTTATTGACGTCACAAAAGCATACACCGATAAACACGTATCAAAGTAGTATAAAGATATTATAATTTTATTTAACTATTGTAAGACTTTTAATGGAAAAAAGATATATTTTATAATAGTGGATATATATAAGTTTAATTTAAAAAGAGAATCTACGGGAATTAGTTAAAATCACCGAAATCGGTATAGTAATTATATACGACACCAACAGAAATGCTCAATAAATAGAGTAAAAGTTTTATGAAAAAAAAAACCGTAAAATTTTTAGCATTAAATGCACGTAAAATCACAATTTCCAAATTAAATTAGTCTGCTAGAGATAAAATACGAAATTTGAGCTTAAAACGTATCGAAGTTAAAATTAATTTGCAACAAAATAATTTAATTTATCAAATGATGCTGCAGTGAACATTCTAGGGTTTTTGTTAAT